GGAGCTAGAAGGGCGTTATTAACTCATATACATTCAAACCTGCTTTAGTGACCACCTGTCTTCAAAGACCACATTTTTTTGTTTCCCTTGAAAATGGTTTCTCATTGAAACATGTACTAAAGGAACCTGTCTACAAAGACCAATTTTTGTGTTTCCCTTGGGCGGTCGCTATAGACAGATCTGACTGTAATTTTACCCAGAGTTAACACCCTTCTGGCTCCAAACAGACAAACCATGAAAAATGTGAAGAAATGGAGAAATCAAGTCAGCGTTGTGCTCTTCAACATTTATTCTATTCTCAAGATCTAATTGACTGTCATTATGACTCAAACACCAATCAGCTAGCTAGACTTGAGCTAGGTGTACAGACATGTAGAATATGATAGGATAAGGAGAATGCTAATTGTCATATATTTCAACAGATCTATGATTTAGTCTTTCATTACGTGTTAGCAGCAACTAAATGTCATTGTCACAGGTGAAAATATTGAAGTGAATATTGATGTTTTAGCTTAAAGATAGTTATCAAATTAATTCTATTGCACATTATATTGAATAGAACATATTTATTTTATAATTATAAATTAAAAATGATATTGTGTATGATTACATGTACATGTATGGTGCAAAAAGTGTTGATCATGTAAAGATGTATTTTACTATTGTCTTTGATAGAAGGGGACATTAATTTCTATTTTTGTTTTGTTTTGTTTACGGTATGTTATTAGTATTTAGTAGTGATTTAGTTAAAGGTCTTTCATTACCTTGTGTAGCTTCTATGATAACAAAAAATGGCAGCAATATATATTACAAGAGCAAGGGATTGTAAAGTGTGTTTCTCACCTTTCAACCATGCAAATAAAAATCCATAAGTTGCAAAGGTGAGCTTTTATGGAGATTTGAAACTACAGTATTTGGTTTGTATGAACAGGAGAGAAAGGAAATATTGGGTGCGATAGTCCCTTACAAACCATTTTTTTTTGGTGTTAACTCACATTGCCTTATGTGTAGGCAAACATTTAAGTTGTTGATGGTTGTAATCATTGTAAATGTCTGCATTTTTTGTAAATTTTTGCAAATCTTTCACAAGTATGCAGTTGAACTCCATTATGATGTCTTTAGCCTTCATCATATTTTGTGTTGGTACTAGTTACTAGAACTACGCCTTTCCAGCAAATTACCGAGATCTTCGCTTTAGATATAGGGAAAATGTAACTAAAGAAGTGGTGTTAAGTTTTATGGTAGGCATACAATGCTTTAATTTGCCTTGAGTATGACCAAAGAAATAATTATGATGCAAGGTAAATTATTTTTTAGTATTGTCTGTTCAGAGTCAGAAGGGCATTGACTCTGTGTTAAAATATATGAGTTATGATTTGATTTAATGCCCTTTTGGCTCTAAACAGACCTTGTGATGTATAAATCATATCATTCCTGCCTTGCAGTACTACTTCCTAGCCAGATTTGATGTTATTGTAGTGAAATTGGTGAATGTAATCTATGGTTGTTTTTCACTTGTATTAAATGGTATCGTAGAATACCTTCAAAGGGTAATTTTTTTCTTCTTTTTACCCAAATGATGTACTATTTGTAGGCACTACATAATTTGTAGAGTGTATGCCCACAGCTGTGAAGACTTTATGAACACACAGTGGTATGACTGGGCACCACCTGAAGTCTCTAAAAAACAATACACCAGAAACACAAAAAATTAAGGGGAAAATAGAATTTGGATAAGGACGCTTTTTATGCTCCTGAGTACAGTGTTTTGTCAGGAATTTGTTTAAATTTACACTCTCCAATCCAGGGTAAACATGCTTCTGATGCTTTCTACAATAATGTCTTGAGGGTAACATGTATGCTGTGGTACTTTGCTCCATTGTTAGACATATGTTTGTCAGTTCATTCAATCAAGATTAAATTGTTGAAAATGTACTATTTCAAAAATGTTATGGGTGACAGAAGTGTTAACATTGGCGTTTTAATTTGACCAATTCATGCTATTCAAAAGATCTGTGCCTTCATTTCAACATTATTTACTGCCTTATCATTAAAATATATTGGCACTAAATGTATTTTGGATGCTTTGGTACAATGATTGAGATTCTTCCACCCTCCCAGGGCTTGTCTTCAAAGATGAAAATGAAGATGATGATTGTGATTGATGATGCAAAATGATGATGGTGGTGATGATGATGATGATGGAGGTGATGATGGTGATGAAGGTGATGATGATGACAATGGTGATGGTGATGGTGATGGTGATGATGATGGCGATGATAATGGTGATGGTGATGGTAATAATGGTGTTGATGATTAATGATGGTGATGATAATGGTGATGGTGGTGATGATGGTGACCATGGTGATGGTGATGAAGATAACGATGAGGGGATGATAATAATGGTGATGATGATGGGTGGTGATGACAATGATGGTGATGATGGTGTTCATGATGATGATGGTGACGATGATGATGAGAGGATGATAATAATGGTAATGATGTGATAATAGTGATGCTGGTAGTGATGATTGTGGAGACGAGATACTGGTAATGATTATAAATTTGTCCATATTATTGGTGTTGTTGAATTGATGTTCATGATATAAGAGATGATGATGGACATACCGGTAACCCTGGTTACCTTGACGATAGTATGTTGATGTCATAGTAATGAACAAATGTTGATGGTAGAAATATGGATTGGTACGTGGGTAAGTAATGAAAGTGGTGATCAATTTATCATGCTATTAAGTGCTTGTCATCATTTTGTATCTACAGTATGTAATACAATTTTTTATGCATTGATTCATTAATTTTCTGTAAAAAAAAGGGTGCAGCTTTTTTAATTCAATACACATTCTAATCATTCATTTGTGCTCGAATCAAACAGTCATGGGCCTAATCAGGAAACATCGTTAAGGGAATCTTTATCACAATCTTGTATATTTTCTTCAATTAAACATGCTTCATTAACGGTATGAAAACAATAAACATGTACATTGTGTAAGTGTGCAGTGAAGCTGTTTTGGTTTGCTGAAAGCTATTTTCGATTCAATTCTTAAAAGGTACTTTTTAATTCTAGTTTTAACACCCTTCTTACTTAATGCATCTAATAATAAATGACATCTATTTTGATTTGTTTAGATTTTCTTTTATAATTACATGTAGCATGTATTATTTTTTTCTTCACTTTTATTTTATTCCGTTCCTTTCTCTGTGTAGCGTGTGTATGATCCAAATGTAAGTTCAAGTAGAAAATTCCTTTTTTTAATTTCCTGCTTTCTTCTTTGATATAAATTTAGAAACCTTCTATTCAATTGCTTCTTACCTTCTTTATATCTGAGTGATTGGTATGTGTGGGTTCCTGGTTATTTTCACCATTTTTTTCTGAGCAGATTCTCCATTCTGGGACCTCTTGCATATAAAGTTTTTGTTAAATACAACTCTGAAATTGATAGATCTTGATAGTGCTGTAGCTATGCAGATAGGGGTAGAGGGGGGGGGGGGGGAGGGGCTACATGCTCTCTAATTGCATTACATATTAAAAAAAAAGGGAAAGAGAGAGAGAGAGAGAGAGATCGACAAAGAAGGGATATATGACTGGGGGTTATAAAACCCGTCTTACATCCCCCATTCATCAACTTTATACACCTTGTATGGTGCCCCCCTCCCCCTCCCAGTAAGTACCTTTTCTGTGCTACACTGGTGCTTTAAATATGTGATACTGATTGGTTGAAACTATTTTAAAGTTAATCTGCATTATTAAGTTAAATCTAAACAGTTTGTGCAAGATGCCCCTGGTCTATCAATTTTTCTTCTCCTTTGGAAAACTAGTATGTCTCTGTTTTTCTTTTTTTAAATTCTTGTACTGAGGAAAGAAAAGCAATGAATGTATAGTTATTTGTTCCAAAAGGATCTGATTTTCAATTAAATGTATTATATTCATTTCAAGGGTGAGCGTTTTGCCTTGAAATTCAACAGATTATTGAGCATCAAGTCCCAGCAGACCATGATTAACAAACAATTATTTGTTTTAATTTATAAGACCCTTGACGAGTAGTAGCTACTCTCTAAGAAATGTCTAAATTACTATTTTTAACAGTATATATAAGCCTTTTATGGGATGGTGTGGGCACTAAAAACATACATATGACATTGTCTTGTATATGACAAATATATATTCCCCTGTATAATATGTATATATGAAATTTACTAATACCCCCTTAAGTTTCTGTACTCATTAGATTGCCTTTCAAATGGAAATTCATATCTCTGCTAAGACTTATATCCGCCTTTTTCTATCATCATCCAAATGAAAAAACGTAGGCAAAATTTCTACACTATAACCCTAACTCTACAATTTCATTCTCCTTTGTGGACTTAAAATGGGATTCAACGAAATATGGTAGCTTTATTGATATTTTGAAGTCTATTACGGCTTTGTGTGGGTATGCATGCAGGTTTATATTGTATTTATATTTGAATGTAAATGTACATATGGGAATTTATTCAAGAGACAACACAATCGCTTGCTTCAACGTTTGATGATATTATAAAGAAATGTCTATTCTATATCTCAGAAGGCTTCCTATGTTAATGATCAGCATGTTTCAAAGGGAGTTCAGATTTTTAAAACCAAACCAGACACGTTTTCCTATGCATCCTTCAATTATATTTTATTATGTTGTGTCTGCAGACTCGGCATCCGATTCACTCTTTTGGGAAGTGCATGTGGGCTACCAAATACTAGTTATTACTAATGCAGGAGAAGGAGAAGAAGAAGAAGAAGAAGTAGAATAATGAGAGGTAGAAATAGAAGAAGAAGAAGGAAAATAAGAAGAAGAATTTAGAAAAAGAGCAGAAAAAAACAATGATTATAACTTTTGCTGCTACTTACTACTACTACAACTACTAAATTACGACAACAGGAACAACAACTACTACTACTATGTTCTTATTTAAATTTCCTCTTCTTTTCTTCCCTTTTTCCTTCACAGGAGACGGAGGTTAACAAGAGTGTTCTTGAGGAGCTCGGTCTTACATAGATGATGACACCTCGACTAATTCTCAACAATTCAAAGCCTATTTGCAGCAGTGGACCCCGGGGCCATGGGGAGCACCCCCCCCCCCTCAGCAAAACCTATGTAAGGTATAGGTCTATTGGTTTTTAAAATGCCCCCTAAATGTAAATGTGCCCCCTAAAATGAGCTGAATTTTTATAAATCTGCTTCCGTAGACTGTTTCTGTGCACACACTGTCCTCCTCATTCTTGCCTCCCTGTGAAACAATCTTTGAGATACTTGGCCTAGTTCACACTTCAAAACAATTATGGGGCAAAAAATAATGACACAGTGCACTGCAGGGGGCCCTTGATATGTGTTCCTACTTTTTGTTTCACCCAGACTTTCCATTCATTTACACTTAAAATGTTTTTTTTATTTTGCTGTGATATTATTGTAAGGTGGTTTACTTTGTCATGCCTGAACAAAACTTAAACAGCGCCATCTTGTGGAAAAGTATGCACGTTTAGATTCAGAGACCTTCATAGAGTCATTCAACACACTGCATGGCCCATGACAACAATGTCATCAATGTTATCAGTAAAATGATCTGGAAACCCAATCAGAGACTTGAAAAATCTGCTCTTGGTCCATTTCAATATCTGATTGTATTGCCAATAGAACTAATGTTGAATTGTATATTAAAGTGATACCAAAATTAGGACCATGCATTTCAATATGATATGTGAGGCTATTGAAATTCTTGTAGAGTGGATATCTTTAAAGTGAAATTGTGAAGTTAAATACCAAGAATTGTGAATCAACAGCAGCTTTAGAATATTATATAACAATCATCAGAAGCTGATGATAGGGGAGGGGTGTATTCTCATTGTTATAATTGTATTCTGTTATTGCGTACATTTAAATTTAGTTTGTAACTTCAAATCTTAGAAAGGGCTGAATATATGTTCTTGAAAGAATCATTTGAAATATATTAGTGAAAAGGTGTAAGGATCAATGACTTTGATATTTCCATGTTGTAGAACATATTTTTGTGTTGTCATTTTGTAAATTTCTGTTGTATTACCAAAGCTTTTTAAGCATAGAATACTTTTTAAGATTATACTATGGTACTAAGCATTCATTATGTCCCTTGTTTGCGTTTGTGAAAATGTATTCTGGCTAGAAGTCACAAAATTGAATTCAAAATTGTTTTGTTTGTATTGTCATGTTTTCTTGTAGTTTGCGATTGGTTTAGATTATCGATATATATTCATTCCAGTTTTTGATTCTTATATGGATTTAAAGCAGATAAAAGTTGTCAAAAATACATTATTCATGAATAGTTTGAAGGAAACAATCATACACAGTTTATCTAGTGTAGGGGTAACTTTTAGATATATCTTTGATATGTTATCACTCTATCTAGGTTTGCACTTTCTTTTGATGTATTTATTTTCTTTCGATAAACTTTTTTTTCCTTGGGTATCTTTTCTTTGTTTCTTTGTGTCCCTCACTTCTGTCAAGTCTTTCTCAGTCTATCTGTCTGTCTCTTTCTCTTTCTCTTTCTCTTTCGCTCTCTTTCTCTCTCTCTCACCACTCTCTCACCCTCACATTGCAATATTCTTCCTATCTCTCTCTTTATCTCTTTCCCCCTCCCATGCCTTCTTTCTCTCTTCCTATTTTGTTTCATCTTTCTCTCTTGCTTTCTATTTTGATTATACACTGTCAATTTGTAAACCATACTTAATTCTTTGTCTTTAATCAAATGATATTTAATTCTTTGTCTTATCTAAACGTATCATTGATTAAGATATTCCCCTCTTCTGGATGAAATAAGAAATAAATTGCCATTAATCAGGTTGATAATAAGAAAAATGATGAAAGAACTTTGTTCTCAATCCAGATCATCATGACTTATTTTGTTTTAACATTGTCAAAACATGTGTTATGTCAAAATAAAGATGAAAGATTACTAACGATTGTACCGTGTGTTATATATTCACTCATCGTTATTTTACACAGTGAAACCTGTACACAGAGACCACTCAAGGGAGACAAGAAAAAAATGGCCTTCTTAGGCAGGTGGTCTTTATGTACAGGTTTCTTTGATTCCAAATTTTCATGTTCAGAGGTAACAAACACAGTGGTCTTCAAAGACGAATTTGTAAACGAGAAAGTGATGAATGCACACAATCTAGATCTTTGGATAGTTTGAGTTTTTTCCTCCATCCACCAAATTAAGAAAGAAAAGAAGGAAATTAAGGTAAATGAAGAGCTTCTTGAAAAGTGAATGGGGTTCGTGTGAATCCTGCAGAGAACATAAATAGCGCCATCTCTTCAAAACTACAGAAAAGTTGGTTCATTGCGAAAGGCTCTTTTTCTTGTAACTTTCCCTTTTATTTATATTAAGAAGTTCAGGAGGAATGATGGGGGAGGGGGGAGGGATGGGGGCTTTTATTTGCTAAGTACTGGTGATGATGATGATAGAGGTGATGATACGAAATGATGGTGGTGGTGATGCAAGATGATGTGTGGGTGCCTGGGTGGTGGTGGTGGTGATGATGATAATGCTTAGGAGGAGGTAGAAGAGGAGGAAAAGTAAGAAGAGGAGAAGGAAGAAGAATAGGAGATTAGCAGGGGCAAGAGGAGCAGGAGGCAAAAGAGGGTGTGATGTAGATGGAAGTTTGAGTCGGTAGGCCTCGTGTTTTGATGATGATGATGGACAATTTTCACATGATGATGAATAATGATGATGATGGTGGTGGTGATGACAGTTTAGGTTTAATGGTTTTGATAGTTGATAGAATTCTTGTAATTGTATCAAGGTGTGACTGCCTGGGGCGTAAACAAGCATGGCTTACGGTAGTCATGGTGATGATGTTACCATGACTTTTGATGATGATGAATTGATAGTGATGATGATGGTAATATGATATTACAAAATAGGTTGAACACATCAGTCAGAAGTGTAAAATGATGTGGTAATAGAAAAAAAAATCAAATCATAATGTGTCATCTTGGATTTCAACATCCAACCACAAACTGTCACTAATTAAACTGCCTAAACTCGAAATCAAAACTAATAGGTCTGTGTATGCACGACTAGCACTATAATCGCCTGTCGATTCTTGCCACAGCAACGGAGGAAAGGTGTCCTATTTTCATGCTTTCAAAAAGACAGATGAACCAAATGATGACACCTGAATGTGCCTTCGATATCAGCCACGACTTATCCAGTTCAAGGAACGCTGATGATGAATATACATGTAGTAATATCAGGTAAGATTGAAACTGTGTGTTTTATTGATGATGAAGTGCGAGAAAAGATAACTCAAACGAATCGCATCGATCGCCAGCGGAGCTCGCTGCATCTCGGCGCCAAGCTTCAAGGGGGTTAGACAACCGACGCTACGGTCATACACAAAGCGCGATCCTGATCAAGGATGAAGCGTTTTGTATTGTCCCACGTACTGATATTGGTGTTGCAATATCTTGTAGATTATTTCTAAAAACTAGTCTGTAAGTCGAGGTCTATGCATAGTTTAAGTGCTGTATGATAATTATCTGTAAGTATTCTGAGAGATCTTCTTGTATAACGAATGTAAAAATGTTTAATGGATAATGTTGAAATTCCGAAAAAGAAGATTGAACTTTGAAGTAAAAAAGTTGTTTCGGGTAGGTCTAGGAATTAACAAAGAGACAATCTGTGTAACCAAGTGTGATTTCCCAATCAAAATAGGGCGCTAGTGTAGTTCCGTATTCATTTTTTTAGCAGTTTAATATCCATTCTTAGCAAATGAATTTTATCCCAATTTTTTACTAATTTTAATCATAAATCATATATTGCATTTTCCACCTGAATTTGGATCACATACGACATCGGGAAACCTCCGTTTAGGGCTTCGATGTCGACGTCGTCGGGCAGTACCGTCTCTACGCTGTAGTCCTGCACCTCAAACTGAAGCTATCAGTCCAAAATTATGCAGACTTCTCGTATGGTTTATGGTATCGCGCAGACGAGAAGTCTGCATAATTTTGGACTGATAGCTTCAGTTTGAGGTGCAGGACTACAGCGTAGAGCGGTACTGAGCGACGACGTCGACATCGAAGCCCTAAACGGAGGTTTCCCGATGTTAAATGTGATCCAAATTCAAGTGGAAAATGCAATATATGATTATGATTAAAATTACTAAAAAATTGGGCTAAAATTCATTTGATAAGAATGGATATTAAACTGCTAAAAAAAAATGGATACGGAACCACACTAGCGCCCAAAATAGGAATCGAGGTTGTCAGATTGAAGGATAATATTCTCATTATATATTCAATAATTTTAGATAATATTTTTTGATTTAAAGATTTTTTAAGTATTGCATGTGATGTAGAACCTATTTGATGTAATCTAGATCTAGATTCTAAACACAATTAGATCTACTGTGAAAAAAAAAGGAAAAAAAACCTCTTATGGACTCGCATCTTGTGGGTATGATTTATTTACTGAAGAAGTAATGTTGAGAATTTCAAAACCTACAAGTCTACAACACATGAAGTATACATGTACACGTAGGCTCTAGGGTGATTTAATGGTCTAGTGCAGTGTGTTAGTTGTGTTTCTCGAGACCAAATCACTGCACAAACCCTGAGTTTGTTCCTGTGCCAGGCCAAGTCACATTGTAGTTTAATGCCAAAATTAGGCACACTGCTCTGATAAAAAAAAGAAAGAATAAGCATCTTTTAAAAAGGATAATAATTGACATAGACCCTCTACATAATAATTAGTAATGGGATCATTTACTGATATGCTTCAAAGTCGAAGTTTACCATAAAAACTACCTAATAAAAACAGTGACTATATATTTTGAGACTTTCATTAGGTGATACATTGGATTTTCTTTTATCTGTGTGTAAACAAAGAAGTTATAAATATGTACATTGTATGCTTTTGTGATTCATTTAGTCCCCTTCATGAAGACAATATTTTACATTCTTCTACGGCAAATATTTAAAGGCACACATTCAGTTCGTTGTTGCTAGGTAAGACAAACATTATGGCTTGTCCTACCTAGCAACACGTATTGTATGCAATTCAGAATCTGACTGTTAAAATACAATCATTCATAACAGGTGAATTAAATATTTTGTAACAAGGCACTTATCAATGATTTATGCATTAAAGTTAATTACATTACGTAAATGGCCTTTTGTGTACAGAAGTAAAGAATCCTCAATATTCACTTTTGATAAAGTAAAGTCTGAAGGTAGAGACTAGTGCCCTTTGCCAGTGGCGGCAAACTGCAGTAAGAATGTTTAGTTACGTCTTCCACATACCGATGGTTGGTACTCATACAGCTACTTCAGGAAGTGCTGTTTGAAAAATGAAACCACATAGTCTTGGCATGAAGACTCATTTAAGGAATCATAGATGATAGATGCACTCATTCATGTTGGCTATCAGCTCCTTTACACATGGGTGTTTATGTCTTGAAAAATAAAAGATTCTGTCATCATAGGGACACAGGCCAAGACCTATCTCTATTAATTTTTTGATGACTGGGAGAAGCCTATTTTCTCAAGACAGGCATGTTGGTTGTGACTCTTTAGTCTTCCCCCAAACCAAACTTGAAGACATACAATTATATCTAGCTGATTGATTGTCATCAAATGTATACATGTACAATGTTGTACGTCAATGTGTTTCATACATGTGTATGTATGTCAGGTCATAAAACCCATTCAGTTTGTTTTCATATTCACATAGCTTGTTGTGTAATCTAAGCAAAGTATGTCAATCACACCCCCTGATCCACAAACATCCTCCACCCCCATAAAATAAAATCAGAGTGAATTGATTATAAATTAATTTTATTTCAAAAGAAAAGAAAGAAGAAAAAAAAATGAAGCTGTCGATCCCCTTGCTTGAGAGATTATATTTCTGTTGACCATGTCTGGATCAACCTTCTTGGTTCTATGTCTCAAGACACATGATTCAAGGCTTTGTTACGGATAGAATGCCATTCTTCACATGATTATAGAATGAAAGTTATTTTGTATGCCATCTGGTCAGAATAGGATTGAGACTGTAACTTGTAGTGATGGCCTAGTCTGCAGGCACAGACTCTGTGTGAATGTTTAGCAAAATATGAGCCTAGCCTAATTTTGTTGGATACTGGGTGTGTCAAATGCAGTTACGGTACATTTCTGTTCTAGTCTCGATTATATATTGTCCAGACCCTTCAATGAGTTCCGAAGGTTTGTGCCAGCAAACTAGCGATGACTGGTAGGGTAGACAATTGATTCTAGTCTACAAGCGAAGACTCTAATTTGACACTGTGACAAACAGCTTTGTGTCTGGAGTAGAAGCCTAACACATAGCAGCTGCAGTACAAGACCTCTAGGCTGCAACTTACAGTCTTGAATTTCAGACCCCATGTTACGCATTAAGACTTTAATACATAGGTCTACGTCTGCGTTCGTACAGGGCTGTTAACTAGACCAAGCATGTTTTAGACCAGCTGTTGAGGATCAGCCAATGAACGTCATTGCCCGTCGTTGTGAAGTTGAGTCTGCTGTGAAATACGGTAGACGAGTCTCGATAAAATTCTCCACCACAGATAACCCCTGATGTGAACCCACCATTGCTAATGCTATGTTCATAAATAAATACTGTATATTTTTCTTACTAGAATCAGGCTTCTGAAATGCGCTTCATCTAATCCCATTTTTCAGATTTTTCTAGCATTTCTGTGATGATGGTCATTGTTGAAAAATAATATTATCTCTTTAAAAGTAATTTGGAATGTAATTCGGAATGTAATTTGGCCTTATATGAAATAATTTATTAGAAAGTAGTAATTATGTACCATGGAATAAATATGGTATTGTTTATTTTGCTACGCAAATAACTTATTCAATTCATTTTCATTTTATTTTTCATTTCTCCTACTGTTTCAAAGTTTTCTTGATAGGATCCATCAAAAATTTAATTTTGTTCTAAAATTGGTCATTTGGCCTGATCAGGAATCAGGCTTCTGAAAAGGGCTTCATTCAATACCATTTTCCAGATTTTTCTAGCATTTCTGTGATGATGGTCATTGGTGAAAAAATAACATTATCTCTTTAAAAGTAATTTGTAAAGTAATTTGGCCTGATATGAAATAAATGATTTAAAATTAATAATTACAATGTATGTACCATGAAACTGACATGGTATTGTTTATTTTGCTGCAAAGTCAAAACAACTTTTTCAATTCTTTCATTTATTCTACTGTTTAAAAACTTCTTTAGTGGATCCATAGAATTTTTTTAGTTCAAAATTATTTGACATTACTCCTTCCCCCATTGGTCATTTATGACCAATCAGAACTGACAAAGATTTGTTCAACTTTTGTGATCTTTCGTATACTTCCGTGATTTCACGGCTGCTTGTTGCGTAGTCTACATACACGTTGAGGAAGAGGGATTCCACAGGAGTTATGAAGGTCTTGTGTTTCTAGCACTGGTATGTGAGGGATGTATGCGAGGCATCCTGACAGGGGTGAGGGGCAAAGAGAAAAGTCAAAACAGTCGTCGTCGTCGGCGGACAGGCCAGCGGGGCGGGGTGGGGTTAGGAATTTGGAACGAGTGAAGCATCTTGGTGATATATTGGGAGAGTGATAGTGCCAATTGTTTTTTAAAGTTTTTTTTAGAAGGTATTCTAATAATATTCAGATAATGAATGATACTACTGTAGGAGTCTTTGATTGTGTGAAGGGTGATGGTCTAGAAGTTATTTTTGAATTGTACATGGCACCAATTTATTTGTTATCAAAGAATTGTAGATGTGAAAGTGGGCATATACATTCCACTGCAGTGAGAGATTGGTATGGAAGAGAGGAATAAGAGAGAGGGGAGAAAAGTGAAAGGCGAGTGAGTGAAAGAGGGGGAGAGTAAGAGAGAGAGAGAGAGAGAGAAAAGGGGGGGGGGGAGAAGGAAAAAGTCGGATGGGGGGGGGGAGGGGAGAGAAAAGAGAGAGAGTGAGGGACGGTGAAGGGGAGAGGGGAATGGGGAAGAGAGGGAGAGAGAAAGACAGAGGGAGAAAGAAAGAGAAAGAGAGAGAGAGAGAGGGAAGGGAGAGAAAGAGGGGGAGAGGAGAGAGAAAATTTAGAAAGAGTGATAGAGTGACAGAGAGAGAGAAGGGAAGGATTAAATAAAGAGAGAGTGAGAGAGAAGGAAAGAGGAGGAGGATAGATGCTCAGGCATTCTGAAGCAGATTCCAATGGGGTTGAGGAACTTCCTGTACGTGAGCATTAGGAAAAATAGTCTGGGCTTGTGGAATCCGGGATCGTAGCAGTCAGTTGCGTGACAACCATTCATCGTAGAAGGTATTTGAAGGGCTGGCGTCAGTGGAGGCTTGTATGCCCGTGATTGCGACCGGGAAATAACATGTGATCAGTTGGTTGTTATAGTATGTGCATTGGTCAGTCAACTGGCGGGATATTAACGGCTACTCTGCGTAGTCCCATTCATACAGACGTTTTTATTTGGTCAATACTCAACTCTGACTTGTGAGGTGGGTAATGTTAGATTATTTTTTTTGGTGAATCTAAAATGCATGTACACTATTCAGTTTTCACCATGTTTTACTATATATTCAAGTTATTGAATGTTTATGTTGTATGAATTTAGTGAAAGAAGTAGCTACATTTGTGTAAATGGAAGTTTTACTATTTTGATGTTTGAAATGAACATTGAAAATATTTATATGTACATGTACATACATCTGTTTTGCTTACATGTATAATTGATGAATTTTCATGATTTAAGCAGAGAAATCAATGTAATTTGAAAGTCATTAATTTAAATTTGATATTCTGAAAAACTAAAATAGTTTCATGAGGTGAATACAATAGCATGATTCACAAGTCACAACTGTAATTGTTTTTGGGGTTTGTGAAAATTGATTTGCTAACAATAATGCATCTGAAGTTCTGAACATATTGCCTTTTTGTCAGCAGATACTCTGAGTAATATACATGTAGTGCTGTGTTATTTGATGGTGACTTCCATTTTGTGCTTCTTAAAGATACAAAACTTATAATGGCAGTTGTGTAATATCCATCATTTGTTTCCCACATAGTCAATTTCAACTTCAGAAAATTGAGAATGACTCATTTGTTAGTTGTGGTTCTGTTTTTGCAATCAAGTTCAATTGGTCACATTCCACAAGTAAAATGGACCTGTTAAGACTGCATAAATTCCAGCTATTAGTATTGCATCTGTCACCATTAATTTATTTCTAAAACCCCCAAATCTACAGTGAAAAGTTTGTGGTATCAGGGGATTCGCTGGTTAGAAACTTGATTTTTGTAATTGTTATTGCAGAGTGCTGTTGTGAATAAAATGGTATGAGAAATGATTGAAAATACAGTCAGGTTTTTACAAATAAAATGTTTTGGCACAGAGTATAAATTTTCATTTGATTATAGATATGTATAGCAAATTTGTTTATCAGTTGTGAACACTGAGAAATAAATGAAAATACAGTCGGGTTTTAATAAATGAAATGTTTTCTCACAAAGTGTACATTTTTAATCGATTAAAGGCTAGTTGGAACTTGGAGTAGAAACATGCATGAAATATATATGGATACACATGTGAACTGGTCAATATTTCCAGTAAAATCTGATACAGAGTTTAATAGACAAATGAAAACCAATTTATGAAATCTGAATTTAGGTCTACATTATCTTGTAGGCCTGCATTTGTAATTATCTTGTGAAAGTAGTGCTGTAACATCACGGATATCTCCAATTCCGTTTAACCGCCAGTCAAAACCGGACGGTTTTCGGTTAAACGATTTAAAAAAAAAAAAAAAAAAAACTTTTTTTTTTTTTTTTTTTTTTTTTTTAACGACTCTGTCGGCAACTTTCATTTAATTGCGAGGTGCATTTAAAGGGGCCGATTTGTGCTTGTGAACCTGTCACAAATAATAGTAACAATGTTGTTTTTAGAAGAATGTGTAAGATCATTAATGTAAATTAAAAACAGTAGAGGACCTAGGACAGAACCTTGTGTAAAAGTTGGATGAATTATTATTATAAACTACATATTGAGATGATGAGATCTATTACAAAGATTACTTTCAACCAAGATGACAGACAAATTGGAGTGTTGTTCTAGTTTTGGAGTGGTGAGTCAACACACAGGTTACTGAGCTGGGAGACATTGCCAGGCATAGTGCCAGGTGGAGGGGCATAAATCGAAACTTCAAAAAAAAAAAAAAAAAAAAAAAAAAAAAATCGGGAAAACGAAACCGTCCAATTGAAAACGGAATCCGCCATGGGCGGTCGGATACCGGACGGTTAAACGTTTGACTACAGCACTATGTGAAAGTACATAAAACCTTTTCTATCTCCCTTTTTGATATTTTGAATAGTCAATAATTTCTCTAGTTCTTTGGTTGGGAAGAGTATTGATTAGATGATAAAGCCACATGTATTTAAAAAATAATCTTAAAGTGAAATTCTGGGGCAGAAGGTCAAAGCTTGAAGAAGATGCCCTCAAATGGGGGATATATTTTTAGCAGGCGGTAAATTACTATCCCACACGTACCGAGTTCATGAAGATCAACCAAGGTTGGAGAAAAGTCTTGAAGAGATTTGATGATGCCGACTGGAAAGGATGATGGGAAGTGCAGATGTCCCGTACAAAACAACATACATTAGGTCTACTTCATCCACAAGTGTTTCTGGTCAATTTCAATTTCTTTTTGATGAAATGCTCGCTACATATTCACTGCATTACTTGTACCCGTATTGAAGCCACTCTCAACTTTTTTTCTATTCTATATGTTTGTACTATGAACTTGATTTCTTTCTCTTTACTCTCCTTTTTTTCAGTCACAGATTGGTGACATCTAAATCTTCTTTAGTAGAGACACGTTGTCCTCGACAGCTGAAAAACTTGTTAACATTCCTCTGCCTGGCTGAGAAACTTTGCTGAATCTGCTTTGTTTAATAAATCGTCCGTGCCAAGGCTGGATTTATCGCCCAGCGTTTTTCATTCATAAGGAAATCACTGCTGAAGGTTGTCTATCTTTTTGCGATGGGTACAGAGGTTTGCGGGAAGAGTTAAGGTTTGTTGGATATGACTAGTCCTCTGAGGAAGCAGCGAGGTGATCAAGGTATGAGACTTGGGAATCCTAGCGTGACTCTCTCCACCTGTGACCCTAAGCAGCAGCCAGCCTACCTGCAGCCTAAGGGAGACGGCTTGGGCTGGCCGGAAAGCACCATGTTCCACAGACAGAACCTAAGTGACGAGCTCTTGCCCAGAATGACCGGAGGTTCACCGGCAAACGATCCAAGGATGGCCCACCTTGGCGTGGGACACATCAACACCAGCTCGAAAAGCATGGATGGGTTGAATTCAAACGCAGGGGCTCTGTCCGCGGAGCATCCAGCGTTTGCACGGACAAGACAGTATCGGAGCATGTCTAACGATGATATGAAAACTGAGATGCTGCCTCAGAAGCGCATGCCGGGAGAACCGACCAATTACATGGAAGCCGCAGCGGCCGCGTTGCAGTCTGGGAAGGGATCCAGTATCATTGATAACTTGATGAAAGAATATAGGAGTGGAAACCTGTATGCCCGTCAACCGGCGGATTTATTACTACCTAGTGCCAAAGAAGACCCCACACAAATGCCTGCACAAATGAAGACTGACCTCGCTCTGCACAGAGAAAACAGTGCCCCGCAGCTTAGTGCCTCAAGAGAGAGACATATGAAATCTCCACCAGAATATCCAGGACATTCACGGTTTGCGCAGAACTTTGATCTTACGCCGTCCAGCACGCCTCGTGCATCATCGCCGCAGTCGGTAATGTCGGACATGGACTTTCCAACGGGTAGGAGCAATCGCAGTGTGTTTGGTTCCAGGGACACATCATCTGTGTTTGGAGACTTTGATACTAGTCTGAGCTCAAGGAGTAGAGGTAGGGTACATTCTCCCTTCTCGACAATGCATATGTCGGACTTTGATAAAGGAGCGCCGCCACCGGAATATCCAGGATTTAAGCGAACGCCGTGGCAGAGCCATTCCGGGCGGGAGTTCCGGTCTAGAAAGGAGAGTGCGACGGTCGACCACAGTCGCGCCTCCAGTTTTGGATCCTATCAGCATTCCTTGAACATGAAGAGGCTGTCCTCGGAGACTAGCTATGACAGCAGCAGAGCAAGGTAGGCCCTTCATGATGTCCCTACTATGCATGTTCCGGGCTCCCCGTCCCACGCCTACCTGCCACTTGCATGGACGACAGCATGTCCCCTGAATGAACATGAATTCACTAACCAGCTTTTATATCAAGCCTACACGTAAATGCTGTTTTTTTCTAACATTGTACCTGATAGAGAGATACAGAGAGAGAGAGAGAGAGAGAGAATGAGAATAACTGAATTTTATTATAATATAAAACTAAAAAAATTCCTTCTTGAGTCTTCATTTTATCCAAGACACTTTTCAACGATTGTTGGAGACTATGCTTGTTGTGCATGTATGGAAACTATCACTGTGGGTTGTAGTTTTCATGCCTGACTTCTTTGTTTCTGTGACCTTGAATGGCTCTAACATTTGTTAAAAGTTATTTATATCATGCACATCTTACACGCACGACTACTTAAATGACATTATATGCCAAAAGGTGTTTAATTCTCTGCATGATTTGGGTGCCCACCGGCTTCCACAACAGACGTTAGAATACAATACTACTGTATGTTATGAAGAAAATTTGAGTGTGTGTATACCACTATATGCCTCTATGTATCTTGTGTGATGACAAAGGACACAAAATTCGCTCCAAGTTCGGAGAACATGTATTTCCTGGTACTTTTTATTGATCCCGAGAGGGGAATCAACCTTGTATTTATCCTGCAATGTATTGTGGAATATACAGGATAGTTTGCATGCTTTTCTTTAGACCACTGCCTGTATCATACACCTTCATAATACTGCCCTATGTAACTTTTCCGTTTGTTCCTCAAGATTTTAATTTTTAATGTTTATTTTTGAAGATACGATGTAGTTCAATTGCATACCTGTAGTTGAAGGATAGCATGTATTGTATTTGTATGAGATGGGTAGATGACGTTGGAGGTGTTCTATAGCTCGTCGTCGTCGGCTGTTATGTTCAATCATGAATTAGACGTCAGCATTCCATAGATGTTCTTGATTCCCACATGGGTACAGAATGGACAAGTGTGATTGTGATGGAGTGCTCTAGTCTTCCTCCCAGACTTGGAGATGCGTTGAGACGTCTTTGATTCTCACATCGGTATAGAATGGTCAGGTGCGATTTGTTGTTGTTTTAGTTTATACGGTAGGCGTTTGTCATTCAGAAGTGAATATTTACGCCTCTTCTCTTAGGATTTTTTCTTCCCTTTAAAATTAAATTTGTTTATTTATTTATTTTTTTTCACATACAGCACGGCAAACAACTACCCTTAAATGGTGATTTGATCACAAATTCAACAAAGAACTAAATTTAAAACATACTTGAAAAGAAAAATTTTCTCAAAAACAATGAAATGCCGATAATACCAAAATAACCACCAAAAAAATTCCTCCTTGTATGGAAAAAACAGCATGATGAATGAACATTTCTGCATTGGAAGTGTGTCGTGTGTGGTTGTAAGTTTCGTTTTGATGAATTCCTTTTTTTTTGCTTGAAATTCCTTTTTTTTTGCCATCATGATTCCTTTTTTTGGTCGCACAAGGTTGGCAGCTCTGGGTTTGTGTTTTAATTTCTTTAATTTACGTAAACAGACAGATAAGGGTGTTAAAGGAATGCCTAGGATCTTTGTTGTAGGCAGTTACTTTTTTTCCGTCCTCTTCATTCATGATTTCACAAACAACAAAAAACCAACAAAAAAGAAACATTGTGGTTTCCCTGCTTTATTTGTAACAAAAGCGCAAAATGAATCATTGGTCAGTCAAAGAGAAAGTTATGTGGTAGATAATTTAACCCTGCAGGTAGGCCATCCGTGTGTTCTACCTGAACCCCTCCCTCTATCTCTCTCTCTCTCTCCCTCTCTCTCTCTCTCTCGATCGATCTCTCCCTCTGTATCTCTCTTCCTCTCTCCCTCCCTGTCTCTCTCCCTGTCTCTCTCCCTCCCTCTCCCCCTCTCTCCCTCTCTCTCTTTATCTATCTGTCTTTATCTCATTCTCTCTCCACCTACCTCACAATTCACTCCGATAACATGCATGGTATGTTGGTCCAATGTGGACACCCTGTGTCTGTGACTCCCCAACTATTCGCTCTTCGCTCTTCTCCTTTACCTCTGCACTGGAGCAATACAGCCAAATGTGTAAGGGATGAATGGAAATGACATGGTGGGAACAAGAGAGAGAGAGAGAGGGAGAGAGAGAGAGAGATAGAGAGAGAGAGAGATAGAGAGAGAGAGAGAGAGAGAGATGGAGAGAAGAGAAGACAGGAAAGGAGAGGAGAGGAAGAGAGAGAAAGAAAGACCCACACTAACAAACCGGAGGGGGTGGGGGGGGGGGGGGGGAGGAGGGGTGCATACAAAGAGAGGGGAGGAAAGGGTTAATGTTTATTTTTTGTTCTCCCTTGTGGGACTATCCAAATTATTAACAATGAAAATTAATTGATAGCTAGTAAGAAAATTAGGCAGGGGTGGGTGGGTGCACTCTGGGCGCAAAGCTGCTTTGAGCCCCTGTTTAGTTTTAACGTCATTGTACATGATGTTTTTGCAACTTTCAACATTACTTGTATCGGATAAGGGCTGAGGTTGTCACAAAGAAATTCCATGTACATGTACATGTAGAAAGTATAGTAAATTAATATAAAACATACTGTGCCGCTTTTGTTCAGTGCAAACTTTAAGTTTAGGTTTTGAAAGTGATTTGCATACCTGACATTTCTGGCCTTCTCTTTTCTCTGGCTTCATCTTCCCACTTTTTTTCTCTCCCTTCACTGCATTCCACGTGGAGAAGCTGCCGGCCAGAGAGCCCTGAAATATCTCACATTTTTCACTCCAATCTCTGGATGTAGATAGATCATGTGTTAGCTCTTTCCTGAACAGTTGCCATACATAATATTTAGAACAAAAATGCTGTTGATGTGGCGGAGCGTGAGTTCTTGTCTAGTTCATTCCTACCATTCCTCGTCATGACATGAAGCCTACATTCTGATGAGGTTTATTCTTTCCTAAACTAAGCCTCGCTAGCTCCAATGTATCTGATGATGATGCATGTCACTAACAAGGACTATCGGCAAGGCTCCACACTAACTTTTTTGTAGAAGGGGTCTGGATTCAGAATTTAGGGTCTACAAACTCTACATACATGCAGCCCTTGGTACAAATTAGGAATTTAAGGGGGTGTTGACTTGATAGATTTGAGCACCCATGTTTCCTGACCCTAGTCAAAATAAAGTAGTCAAAAAACTTGTCGAAAAATAGTGAACAGACAGCAAGAACCTTACGCTATTTCGACTCTGAAATACATTTTTCATATATCTTTTGTTTTAAATCCTTAGCCTAGAAATACATATTTTTTTCTTACCTTCTTATTTCCTCATAACAAATTAGAGGAAAATAGTATAGTTTTCTAGAAAATACCATAAAAGTATAGAGAAAATAGCCCCATTCTTTTGTTTTTTGTTGCCAGGATGAAAAAGGAATTCAGGTAGTTGGGTCAATCAACACTCAGAATACTCTGTTAAAATGAGTTTCTACTGCATTCTTAGTAATTCTTACCATACCTCATGAAATGATGATGATAAGTTGCTATTAAATCCACATACCTGTACGTAAAACAATAGACAATTTAAACCATATTTGTCAGTGTAAATTCATTTCAATTGTTTATCTGCAACACCAGTACTGGGAGTACAATTGGAAGGTTCTCCCGCAATGGAATGTAGGTCTGTAATGTAGCTACAATATCTATAGGAGATGCTAGGTATATGTACCTATATACAGGGCATGGTATTTACTTTGCATTCTTGTAGTGACTGTGTGGGAAGTAAACAGGGAAAAAGAGTATCAGATTTGACCTTAAATGACCTTGTGACCTCAAGTGACCCTCGTTGCTCTTGCTTGGCCTGATTACCAGGTCTAGATGTGGTCAAGAACTAGGCCTACATAATATGTACGCCTTGTGATGCGGATGATTTATTAGTAATTTATGATATATACATGTAGATTTTGTTTCTGGTATTGTGCTCTACTGTAGACTGACACATACATGTACGGTACATGTATACAAAATCAAATGAAAGGACACACTACAATCATACACTGAAATGTGAATGTAGCCAACATGGGTTGTGGGGTAGGGCGGCTATGGGTGTACTGCTATTACCCCTTGTAAAAAGATAATTTTTGAGGGGGTATGCTGCTTGAATAAAATAAAATGATGGGAGGAGGTAAGGAATTCAGTATTGGCATGAAGCCCATTTTGGGAAGGGGGATGTAGGGCCTTTTTTCCAAATGTACTCTTTGTTTTGTATTTAATGATTTTCTTTGTTTTTGCCTGAATAAATGATAATAATAATGATATTATATGTACAACAGACAAATGAAGTCAGTTGAGAAGTATGATGGGCATCTAATATGCTCCTAGCATTAATATTTTCGAGGAGGAGGAGGGGGCTACACAATCTGTCCCAAAGTCCGATTGGAATGGAATGTATCTGGGGGCATGGATCTCGAGGAGGAATGCGTGTGGTTTATTTTGGTAACTTCATTTGACAAATGCGGGCACATTGATGAGCAGTTTGTATGTTAACTAGGGGGATGTGGGACAGAGATTCCTCACATTCTCAGAGTGTAAGTGAATTAGAGGTGCGCTGTTCTGGCACCGCTCCGATCAGAGGGTTTGCGATAAATTAGGATGAATTAGTTTTGAAATGATATTTACTTTGTCTTAAATACTGGGACATCGCATACATGTACATACTAATTGTTTCATGTAGATCCTTCTTTAGTATACGTTTCAGATTGTGCACAATTTAATTTGTCGTTACTGATTCATGGTTACGCATTTTCAAAAATTAGGATTATTATTGAAATTTGTTATTCCTTTGTAATTTTTAAATGAAAGAAATGTAGGAAAGCTGAAAAATGGAAAAAGAGGGGACGCTTAAAACTTTTGAGAGAGGATGTTAACCAACACAACTAAACAAATTCAGTCTGGTCCCCCTGAGCTAAACATTTATAGTGTGGAGCTCTGTTAGTCGTAGAGATGAGTAATATCTCTTGAAAAATTTATTTTTTTCCCCTCGTAATTCTAGAATGTAGATGTGTGCAGTTTGACTGACAACTGCTGGAGAAAATTTCTAAGAATGTTGATTAGTAAATTCTATATGAGCCCACCAAGTAGGCGTGTGGTTTATTCTATCATTGATGTCTCGTCATAGGCCTGCATGCATGCTGTTTGAACATGGTGTAGTCAGGTGTCTTCCATTGACATACATTGCATTCTCAATTTTATAATCCATTATCTTCTTTCCCTTTGGCATTCCATACTTCTGAAGATGTCCTCAGTACGTTGACCTTGCAACGTTTTCACCGGAAACAATATTTTTCGTCATTCACTCCTTTCTTCTTCCACTCCCTCTCTACTTCTTTGATTTCGTCTAATACTTCTGTATATTTCCTCCATCTTACTATCCATTTCCTTTTCATTCCTTACCGGTATATTCATTCTCTTGTACCTTCTATTACTCCTTCCCTCTTTCCTCTTCCTTTCACTTGTATATCTTCTTTTAATTATCAGTCTTCTGCATGCATCACTTGTTCTCTCTATCTTTAATACTATCACACTCCTTTCGTGAACTTTTCATCCTTTTGTATTTTGTTGTTTCTTTCACCCATATTACTTCCTTGTAGTAGAACTGGGCATGCCCTGATTATCTCGCTTTTAATACAGGCCTATATCTTTTTTTCTTTTTCTGATCTCTCTCTCTCTCTCTCTCTCATTCTTTTCTTCCTTATTATCTTCCATTTTGTTTGTAATTCCTTCTATTTTTCCTGTTTCTTTTTTATCATACTCCCTCTTTCATTTTTTTTCTATCATACTCCCTCTTTCATTTTTTTTCATTTCTTCATTCTCTGTTCCTATTCTCCTCCTAATTCTCTTTCTGTCAGAGGAGCTCTTCGTCATCTCTCCCTCTCTCCCTCTGTTGCTCTGTCCTCTCTCTTTCTTGTGAATGTCTGATGTAATCTTTCCACGTTCTTCAGATTACGAGGGAAATTCCATTTGTAGCCGGGGATGAGTTCTTACATAATCCTTGCCCCGCATTTTTTCTACCGGTACTTCATCATCACGATAGTAGCGGGGGTAAAGCCCCTTCTCTGAATATGGGTGGAATATCTTTGCAATGGTATTTAGGTGTGGTGAGCACTGGGGGCAGGGGGTAGGAATGCTATTTTCAACATGCCAAGCTAGGACTATGCCAGACCAAACTGTATGCTGATAGCCAAAAGGCCTTAACTTTATAGTTAGGTTCACACGACAATCCATAAACTTAAAGTTTAGATCATCGTTTAATCTTCAAAATTGTTGTGTTGTTAGGGACCGTGCCGATGCATACGTGGTTTCAAATTTTAAAGGTTTACTTGAAGTTACGATCCACTAGCAATCTTGAGTTTAGCGCAATTAGGTAGGAAGACTTTTGCGCGATAACCGTAATCAGAGCTGGGGGGGGGGGGGATGGCCTCACTTGAAATTAAATGCTGTGCAGACGTAATTAACTTTAGGTTACGCCAGCTAGTACATGAAGTACATTGTAGTTAAAATGAATGCTTCCCCCGTTTGGAAATATGAAAACTCATTGTTTCGATCTGGTGTGAAACCTCGTCACCTTTAACGGATCATTGTTTATAATTTCGAGGTTTCGCAAACTTATATTGTTTAAACTATGACGGTCCAATATGAACATGAGTTATGTTGAAGGATATGAATTGATGCCCTTATGGTTGTTAGCAGATTAAATCAACTAGCATTGTGTTGGTTAGCATTCTGAAAGCACAAACCAAGGGGCATTTATGGAGGGGGGGGGGGGGGCTTGGACATGGTCCTATTCTTGAGTCAAAACCTTCTCAACAACATAGACCTACAGTATTAATTGCTAATTTGTTTGTACATATTGCACTAATTGTAAATGCAATATGTAGGATTTGTATTTAATGTGCATCATGTATTAGGGTGAAAACATAAAAATCAACCAAAGCATTTCTTGAAGTAAATCTCTGTCGATCAATTTGATTTTAACAATTACAGAAGACATTTTATAGCCTGAGGCTTTTGAAACTGCTTTTTGTTCAAGAGTAAGTGATGCATGATCAACTTTTCCACTCAGGAATTTTCTTTTTTTAAACTATATCAACAGTACCTTTAAAAATAGTTATGATTTGGATACATGGTGAGAAATGTTTTGAGATGATGAACGTGTTTGTTTGCTGAAAGACTGACTGACTGTGTGGAAGGAATGCTGTCTGTCTTACTAGTCTCAGGGCCGGGCCAATAAATCTGACGCCTTGCTTGCACATGATGCTATTATAAAATAATGATGATAATTTAGGGTGCGTTCAAGCGACACTTTTTTACCCTAGAGAGATGGTTTTTCAAGATGTTTAAGTTTAAACGCAAACATGAAACGCTAAAAAAAAAATGCGTTTTGTTACGTGATTCTGCAAAAAAAATAATCGCTTGGAACGCAACGGCGATCTCAATCATGATTCTATGACGTCATTATCGTGGCCTGCTTTTGGTTTGGCCAATAGGCGACCGTAATCAAATTCAGAAAGCAATGGGGCGAAGTTGACCTTTACTTCCTGGTTCAAACTGCGCAGTGTGATGCGCAGTGGGTGGGCTTGAAATGAGCGAGAATCAGCGTTGATGGAAACTCGCTTGAACGATCTACCGAAGTATTACCATTTGATTTGTGATTCTAGCTTTAAAAAATTGCTTGAACGCACCCTTAGTGTACCCTGGGAAGCCTCATCAGCATTCCGTGGGCCTGTAATTATTCTTACCCCAGCAACTACCAGGTACCCGTATTTACCTGGGTGGAGAGTGGCAAGTGTGGATATATAACTTGCCAAAAGTCATCTTAAGTTCGGGGCTGGGATTTGAACCCCCAACCCTTGGAGTGAGTGTCAAGGAAACGAACCACTATACCACAACATCCCCACAATGCAGTGAATTGCATAAAATTAGCCTGCAACAAAATAAGTGACATACATTGTACATACTACCGGTGTAGTGCTTTTTATTTTTCTGTATTTATTTTTAATAAACAAATAAAGGACTAAGCAAAGGGGACTTTGTATTGTAGCATGAAACTAAATTCAATGGAGGTGCGATGGCTCAGTGGTACATTAGACCAGTGGTCTTCAACTCGTTGTTACCGAGAGGACCCGGATTGAAACCAAGTCGATGCGCTAGTGCCCTTTGGTAAGGTATTAATTTTCATTACCAACTCCCTTGGAGAGGGCTTAAAGCTGTGGGTCCCCTGGTTGCTCACTTTACAAGCATACACATGCTTTCTTTAATAGCAGTCAGGTAAAACAAACAAACAAAACTACAGGCTGTTTTCAAACCCCTTACTTATTCACTTTCCAAACAATGTTATACCGTAAATCTCCGTGTATAAGGCGCACCTGTGTATAAGGCGCACCCCTATTTTGGGGAGGGGGAAAAAAAAAAAAAAAAAAAAAAAAAAAAAAAAAAAATCGTTTTTGTTGTTGTTGTTGTTTGGTTGCCGAAAACCCACGCGGGAAAGGACCTTCATTTAACATCGAGGTGCAGTTAAAGGCGCTGATTTGTGCTTGTACACTTGTCACAAATAATAGTAAAAATGTGTTTTAGAGAATGTGTAAGATCATTAATGTAAATTAAAAACAGTAAAGTACCTAGGTCCTAGGATAGGACCTTGTGGTACACCATTTGCTTAAATAAAAAAATTGAGGAATTATTATTATAAACTACATATTGAGATTATTAGAAAGATTACTTTCAAACCAAGATGACAGACAAATTTTAGTGTTGTTGTAGTTTCCGATTGGTGAGTCAACACACTGATTACTGAGCTGGGAGATATTGCCAGGCATAGCGCCATAAATCAAAAATCGAAAATAAATTAAAAAAAAAAAAAAATCTTTTTTTTTTCTGTACCTGTGTATAAGGCGCACCCCCGACTTTCAATTTTTTTTCGGCGGCAAAAAAGTGCGCCTTATACACAGAGATTTACGGTATATACTTCTGTCAGCCATAATTTGGGGCCAGCAAAGTGATACCACACAAGTATTTAATATTGAATAAATCTGGTTCATAACTAAAGCAGGGGATAAATCGTTTTTATTCCCTTCCGAAGCATCCCCCCCCCCCATCCCTCCAAGAATGGTAACAAATGATGAATGGAAGCAATAAACTTTATACATGTAATATAATATTTTATTGTTTTATTTTGTATGTAATAAATCGAGTTAGGAGCCAACAGGGCATTGACATACCTGCCAACCCTTCCGAATAATCCAGAATATTCCAGATTTTCAAAAGTTTTTTTTGTGTTGCTTCAGCCAAATTAAGCTTGTTTTATCATATGTCGCGATGTGAAGTTGAAGGGCTGCATGATTGAGCAGCGAATTTGTATTCGCTTTTTTGCGTAGATTTACCGCGTATTGCCAGTTACACTGCCGCTGCATGTACGAACGCCTGTTAAGGGTACAGATTTCTTATTTTTGAAGACATACCGTGCTAAAAATTCTTAATTCTCATTTGCAAATGTTGGCAGGAATGAAAAAGTTAAATTCCAACTGCATTTGAAAGATAATACTAATTTAGAACTTCCCTAAAAAAGGTGGGGCTTGAAAATGTCTTCAAGTGGGAAAATAACGACTATTAGTTGTCAATCGACTTTAGGGCTATAGAGCCCAAAAGTAATAGTCTTGATTTTCAGACAATTGTACCGAATGGTCATACGTTTTATGCTGCGCAAAGATTCAATCAGTTTAATCTTGGCCATCACAAGAAGTGGGTTATTGATGTAGACAAATGCTCATGTACCCTTTACAACTATTTTCATATATGTTATTACCAAAGCAAGAAAAAAGCCAGTCAGTCACTCAATAGTGTCTGACAGTGAAGTCTAGCAAGTAAACGGTTTTCCTTGCATTATTTGAATATGAGGACACTGCTAACGTTTAAATTTCACAGATAGGACATACATGACATATTCATAATTCCTGCAAAGTTCTACAGCATTTGAGGTTGGCTGCAAAAGGGACATGAAGTTTATGAAGTTAACGTCACTCTGGCTCCAAACAGGTGATATGTAAGTAGTATAACCAGGAATGTGGTTTGTAATTTCTTGATTGAACCTTCCATAATTTCATAAATTGTCTGTTCAGAGCCAGAAGGGCATGAACTCTGTATTAAAGTATGTGGGTTAGTGCCCTCTGGGGCCCGTTACTAGAAATGGTCATAAGTCTAAGTTTGTGGACATCCCATTGATACATGTGTTATAGAATTAACATGCGTTTCAATGGAATGTCCAGTTGTCCATGAACTTAGACTTATGGCGGTTTCGAGTAACAGGCCCCTGCTTGCTCCAAACTAACAGAACGTGTGTTGGTTAGAATATAGGGTCTGAATCCTGTCCGTTGATGAGACTGTCCGATGTCACGGTCTGTGCCGCATTAGACATTCCAACCCAAGTAATTTACAGGTACATTCCATTGTGCAATAAACTAAGCAGCATGGAAGATGCCCCCTGAGATGCGTTTCCATTAGGCCGAGCAAGCTTCAGCTTGACATTTTAGTACCAATCATCGCTTCTCAAGGAAAATGGTACGAGTTTGAAACTAAATTGTAACTATCTTCATTAAGGCTGACTTGATCCCCACTTGCTCAAACAATTATTTGAAACTTCAAAGCATATCGTCCGTTTTAGAGCGAGAAGGGCATTAATTTTTATCATTTTACACGGAGTTAACATCCTTTTGGCTCCAAACAGATGATTTCATAATTTTAGTGTATTTCTTTATCAGCAAATTATAACCTGCTCATTAACGAAATAGTGGGCTATTTCGTGAATGAGCCTGATATGAGTTTACTCGAGACACTTGTAAAAGCTTGAGCTTATATTTTAAGCGTAATGAACTAATGATAGAATACCTTTTGTGCATTCATATTAGCTTGAGCTACAAGAAGTCCTGATTGGACTCAGTTTTCCCCGATCAGAATTAGGACGCACTTTTGAAAATTGGGGCAAATGGAAACGGGCCCAGTGAGACATGGGGATGATGCTGTAGAGAGATGCTAAGGCATCCCCTAAGGTCAACTCAAATAGTGTCCCAATGAAAGATGTGTCCCACGTTAGTACTCTGTGGTCAATGCTCCTACGTGTAGTATCCTATCATCGGCTACAGTACACACCTGATCCAGACTTGGAGGAATTCCATCGACTTGTACGAAATGCTTTAAAAGTCTTCTATGAGAAAAAAATGTTGCCTGTTGAAAATGGCAAATCTCAATCAAATTAATTTAATTTCTTTCTGTTACCCGCAATACTGGTATTTGAATGTTTCTTAAATTTCAAATGAATTGAGTGTGTGTGCATGAATTGAAGTTTGATACAATCCATGTAATTAGATAATCATGGACAACATGGGAGGTTCATTCAAAAGGGTCTCATAACATCACAATTCAGAGATGCAGCCCTGTACATGTTGGTGAACTTGGTATTGTGAATTGATGGGTGAATGACCTGTAGCCTCATTGATGCTGACTACATGTCCATTTGTAGGTGTATCCTTGTCTTGTAACTGAAGGTCATTACTCTACTTTATATTGTTATTGATTATTCACCTGACTTGTTTCTCATATTGTCTGTTTGGAGCCAGAAGGGTGTTACTGGGAACTCAAATATACTTGGAACACAGAGTTAACGGCCTTCTAGCTCCAAACAGACAAATGTGTTGTAGACCTACCTGTACATGTTTCAGAAACTTATGTACGCAGCATAATAGGTCTCTATGCTTACCTATCTTCTCAGGGATATGGATGAAAGATGTAAAGTCAGTATGCATGGGCTCGATTTTAGCATTTTGCAATCGGGAGGGCCTGTACAGGTGCAGTTGCAGTTGGAATTTTGGGGGCCATTTGCACCACCTGGGTGTAGAGTAGCAAATGCTGTTTAATGTCTGTCACAGGATGCCCATACCAGCGGTAGGAGTTGAATCTTTTACCACTCCATGCATCTAGAGTTTATGTGGGGACTTATTCCCCAAACCATGATAGGGGCGTATGGCTTTCCTGTGATTTAATGCTCATACGAGTCATACAATCTCACTCTCGCCTCTCTGCACCAAGTATTTGTAGGCCCACTGTGGCACATGTGCGCCTGTATCAATCATTCTATAAAAGCATAGGACACACTCCTGGTTGGAGGTACAGTATTTTGGGCAACATGATCTCATCAGGCTGTTTGTCTGTGAGGGGAGATTCCAGGCATTCCCTTCTGTGTATGTACCTTGGCCCTGAGGAAAAATGAGAGCATCAAAGACCATGGGTGGGTTCACACGCACATGCACACGTGCCCAGTGGTTAATGCACTTGCCACTCATTCAAGAGGATAAGGGTTCAAATCTCTGGTGGTGCATGCGTCTTTAGACGAGGCATTCAGTTGGCCCTGAGGAAAATGAGAGCATCGATCAAAGACCATGGGTGGGTTTACACGCACACGTATCCAGTGGTTAATGCACTTGCCACTCATTCAAGAGGATAAGGGTTCAAATCTCTGGTGGTGCATGCGTCTTTAGACGAGGCATTCAGTTGGCCCTGAGGAAAATGAGAGCATCGATCAAAGACCATGGGTGGGTTTACACGCACACGTATCCAGTGGTTAATGCACTTGCCACTCATTCAAGAGGATAAGGGTTCAAATCTCTGGTGGTGCATGCGTCTTTAGACGAGGCATTCAGTTGGCCCTGAGGAAAATGAGAGCATCGATCAAAGACCATGGGTGGGTTTACACGCACACGTATCCAGTGGTTCATGCTCTTGACACTCATTGAAGAGGATAAGGGTTCAAATCTCTGCTGGATCATGCGTTTTTAGACAAGGCATTAGGTTTTCCCAGTTACAGTACGTTGTCTCTTTTGCTCCAAATGTGAAATTGGTACTTGGCATCATTTTGAAATGCACTTTGCGCCAATAATCGCTGCCAGAGCTAAACATTTTATTAGTGGATAGTAATAATTTTCATACCACTGTGGATGGTATGATGTGATATGCACCATAGCAAGAGAAACATGATTATTCATTAGAAATCAATTTGATTGCCAATAATAATATGACCCCTGGTTTGCTAGTTCACACAAGTGATGATGACAAAAAGAAGGCTATTTTCATCTGAGAATGAAGCGTGAAGTTGCAGTGTAATTCCTCAGTTG